AAGGTCCCCAGGGCTCTCATCATTGAGGGCGGGGCCGGGGGCGAAGGTGGAGTCACCCCCTAGTGTCTCCTGAATCCAGACAAGGATTCCAGCAAAAGTCGTATATTTTGGAGAAAATGCCAGGAAACGCCAGGAGAGTGGGGGAGGGACAAGGATAGGAAGGAAGTCAGTGACCACCTGGGGCAACTGGAGCTCCACCTTCCCTCCCCGCAGGGAACTCTGGGAACCAGGCTCAGATGGGTCCCACCTGGGAATCCAGGGGCTGGGCTCTGTAAGTGCCAACTCCTGCGGATGCTGGTTGAGTACATTGCCTGCCCGCCCCAGGGGAGCCCGTGGGCTCTGGCAGCCAGCGGAAAGCGGGAACTGCTGGCCCTGGCTGGTATGGCTCAGTGGAAAGAGCGTTTGTGCACTGAAAGGTTGCTGGTTTGATTTCTGGTCAGGGCACATGCCTGGGTTGCAGGCCCCTCCATCCCCGGAAGAGGGCGTGCAGGGGGCAGCTGATCAATGGTTCTTTCTCATCATTTATGTTTCTGTCTCCCACTCCTCTCTCTAAAAATCAATTTAAAAATTAAAAAAAGGTTAGGATTCTGTTTTAAAAGATATTAATTGTACTTCAAAACCATATTCTTTAAATAGGGGGTGGGGGGGGGGGGGGAGAAAGTGCGAACTGCTGAATGGAATTGCGGCCGAGTGCCCTGAGGCTGAGAGAGGGCAGGGGCTGTGCCCAGCACAGGAGAGAGCACTCCGGGCTCAGGGCTGGGAGTCCAGGTCCCAGGACAGGCACCTCGTTTGGGCTCAGAAATGCCTGGGGCTGGCTCCTGACCCCGCGGGAGAACAGGCCACTCTGTAGAATCAGACTGATCCTTAAAGCTGTGCGTGAAAAGTCCGAAGGACCCAGGGACAGAGGCTGAGAACCACACCCTGGACAAAGACCAATGGCCGAGTTCGTGGTTTTGTTTAGCTCTGGCTCTGCAGGAAGAGAAATGCCTTTTTCTTTTCTTGCTCAGAAGGGTCAAAGTTGCCCTAGGGAGGAGCGGTCCGAGCACACCTGGGGAAGGTCACAGGTGCAGGCTCAGCCACCGGATGAAGCTCCCAGGCCCGAGGCTGTCCTGGTGCTTAGCATTTGTGACCCAACACAGCCTGTCTGCCCCCCCGAACCTCCCCCCAGCTCCGAAGGCAGCACGGGCCAGCCCTCCCTGGGTGCGTTTCCACCAACACATCTTTCTGGGAAGATTGAAGGGACAAGCATCCCTGGAGATGTGTCACCCGCAGCTTCTTCGTGGGACGAGGTTGGCGATAGGGAGTCAGGGAGGTTGTGGCCACGGTTAGAGCTACGAGGGGGCACAGGTTAAGGAGGCTGGTTTATGGAGCATCACAGATCATGTGTGTGCCGCCATGCTGCCCACAAACACCAAACAGAAGGCGCTCCATGAGCAGTCAGTTCATTGGGGACCTCAGCCTCCGCCCCCGTCACATGTGGCTCCTTCACACTTGCTCAGGGTCCTCTTTCCTGGAACCCCCCAATGATGGGTCTGTATTATACAGATGCCACCCCCGGAGCCCTGCTGATGGGAGAGCAGACCCACCTGGAAGGACTGTGAGGGCCTGGCTGGGTGTTCTGGGAGGGGTTTATCTTCATCACCTGAGCAGGGAGGAAGGGAGCAGTGGCACCGAATGAAACGTCCACCCCCCCCCCCAGCAAGCCAGGTGGTGCAGTGGTTAGGGACCTTGGTGCCGGGACCAGGCTGGGAGGGCTGGAATCCTGTCTCGGCCACTCACTCACTTCGTGACCCTGAGCAAATTCCATCATCTCTCTGTGCCTCGGTTTCCCCATCTGTAAAGTGGGAGGTCACTAGAATTCTTCCTAGAGCTGTTGTCAGGAACATAGGGGAAGCTGGCTCACCTTTTTATCGGCAAATAAGTTGCTCCTAAGGCCTCATTTTATAGCTCTCAGTAGATCTCATTAGGTAGCCATGATCTCTGGTGCACAGCGGGTCACAGTGAGAAACAGCACAAAGACCCACTCCTTCCCTTTCTCTCAAAGACACGTCGGTGAGACGAGCAGAATGACTGTGCGAGTGCAGTTCGAGGCCAGAGCTCCAAGAGAGCAAGGCGGATGAGTCCCTAGGGTCTGCGCTCACATCTCAGCACGGGCACTGAGCGGCTGCATGCTGACGGTAGGACAGCTTCCTTTTTCTGGGTCTCAGTGTTCTCATCTGTAAAATGGGGTTATAACAATCTGCCTCCTTTGCTGAGTTAGATCATAAGCAGAATGGCCCCTGGAACCTGAAAAGCAGAGAAGGCT